CTCTCCTTAATATTAGGCGGTTGTCGGTCACACAGGACATTTTATATTAAAAAAAATGTTTTTCAAAAATAGATAGTAGACTGACCTGACAAAAAAAAGCACTTAAAACTCTGAAATTGTGCTGAAGTCACGTGACTTCGGATTTCGCATTCTTGTGAAATTGGAAGAGTTTCAAACTCTACCGAAACGGAGTTTGAAACTCTGGCCAAGTGGCGAAGTCATGTGACTTATAGGAATTCGAATTTCCACCAAAATGGTCAGTAACCCGAAATCAAAGTCACGTGACCACACACGTGATATGTATCGCTATATATATTTAAAAAATAATTAATTAATAAATTAATTAAAAAATAATTAAAATAATTATTAATTAAAAATAAAAAAATAAATAAAATTAGTGTAATATTATGAATTGGCATAACGTAACGTATTGGCATAATGTATCGAAATTTGCATAACCGTACTGAAATTCATGTAACCTACAAATACATTTTGTATCAAACATTTAGCAAAAATGTTTTTTAACTTTTTTTTTATTTTTTTAAAAAAATAATAATTTTTGTTAAATTTTTTATATTAATTTTTTGTTAAAACTAATAAATTATTATATTACAGGTTTTAAAAACATATTAAATAAATTAAATAATAGTAGGTTTAATAAAAATTTTAATTAAAACATTGTAAATTAATATTAAATTTACAAATTTAATAAAATATTAAAATTTAAAAAGAAGGTAAAGGATTTAAAATTAAACCAAAAATTTTAAAAATTTATATTCTTTATTTAATAAATGTTTTGTTTTATTTATAAATTATAAAATAATTAATAATTTTATTATAATTTTTTTTATTGAGATAGAAAATGCCAAAACAAAAAAAAAAAAAGAAATCCCACACTTGAGGATATAGTAAAAACATATACAAAGCCAGCAGATAAAAAAGAAACTAGAAAAGAAAGAGAAAATAGATTAAAAAATAAAAGAAATACTAAATATAGACATTATCAAAATTTAGCAGGACCTTCAACAAGAACAAAATCTAGAACAGAAAAAATATCAGATAGAACAAGATCAAGGCAAGGTGATAAAAATAGACAATGAAGACATAGAGCTTCTATAAGTGTTGATAAAATAGAAGAAAAAAAAAGAAAAGATAGAGAAAAATATAGAGAAAGATATAAAAAGAAGAAACAAGAACAATTAGAACAATTAAACCAATTTTATAGAATAGGATGCTATAATTTAGATAGTTATAAAGAGAAGAGAATAGATAGAGAAGATATAGAAGATGGAAGACATAGATTTGGAAGAGGAATAGATATTGAATGTAAACATTATAAAGCCTTAAAATGGGTAAAAGAAAAACTAGAACTATACTGTATGAATAGAAAAGTAGAATTAGCATTACTTGATCCAGCATCACCAGTAATATATAAGTTACTTATAGGCAAAGATTCATCTAATAATTATTATATTGATAGAATAAGAGTATATAATTCTTTATTTGCTTTTACATCTATTGGTATAAAATTAGATAAAGATTTAGCCAATGCTAAAGAAGAAGTTTATACTTATAAAATTAATAGAAAACATTATCATCAGATAGATTCATTAATACCTAATAAAGATTAAGACCCAAAATTTGCTCAAATATATTTTTGTAATACTTATGATAACCAACTTAAAAGAAAACATGAAATAATGAAAAAAGAATTAGATTATGAATTGCTAGATGAACTTCAATTTGAACTTTCTGATAATAATCCTTTTATACAAACATTTAGATATGCTAGAGATAGTAAAATAGAAACTAAACAAGAAGTATTATATATAGCATTTCATAATACTCATGGCAAGAATAGAAAATTATATAATATACTAACACCTGAAGAAATAGGTATAATTTATAATGATTATCAAATGCCAAAAAAAAGAGATATTCTTATTAAAAGAACAGATAATATGTTTCAAAAAATATCTAAACTACATAACGCTTATGATTCTTTACAATATCCTGTGTTATTTTCATTTGGAAAATATGGTTGGTATGATAATATATTAAGAACAAACTCTAGAAAGAAAAAAATTATTGAACAAAGTAAAAATAATAATAATAATAGTGATGATAATAGTAATGATAGTAATGATGATAATAGTGATAATAATAGTGATAATTATAATGAAGATGATGATAGTGATAATGATAGTAATAATAATAATGAAAATAATAGTGAGAATGATAAAGAACAAGAAGAACAAGAAAGAGTAATAACAGAAAAACAAGAAATAATAGTAGAAGAAATGAGACTAGCATTAAAATACAAAAATGATGTTCATAGACTCGTAATGGTTCTTGGATTGGAGATTTATATGATTTATCTGAACCGGAAGAGGAAGAAGAAGAACTCCAAAAAACAATACTTTTTGACATTTTATTAGAAACATATTCAAAAGGGAAGTCAGAATTAACTCAATTATTAGAAGATGCAACTATTGAATCCTCAGCAAGTTTTATGAGTATAAGTGAAACAAGTAATAAAGAATCTAAAAGAAAAAAAGTTGCATTAGAAGAAGAACAACAACAACAATCTGAATCTGAAAATAATTCAGATAGTAATAATAATGATAATAAACCTAAAAAAAAGAAAAGAAAACTTAACAAAGAAAAAGAAAAGAACAAGAACAAGAGATTGCGTTTGAATTTGATAATGATAATGAATCTATATATTAACAATCTGATAATAGTGATAAAAATAGTAATAAAAATTCATCAAAAATTCAAAAAACACGCAAATGAACAAGAGTATCTATAAGGAGTTTGTAGTATATAGGTTTATGATTAGAAACTCAAATAAGGAAAGAAGTATTTTGTATTATTCAAGCAGATTATTTTAACAATATATTGTAGATCAATATGTAAAGTGAGATTAAGATGATATTATCAAAATCAAAAATTATTAAGATCAGAAGTTTATCAAGGATTAAGTGATATAACTTCTGAAGAAAATGCTAATCTTAATCAAATTGGTCAAAGAAAATATTATCATCAAGCTTTACAGGATCTTCAAGATATTTACAACAATTATATCAAGATTCAATGACAATTGTTAGAGAATTTGGAAAACCTGATTTATTTGTAATAGTTATATGCAATCCAAAATGGCCAGAAATTACTAAAGAGCTTTTATCAAATCAAATTGCCTCTAATAGGCCTGACTTGATTGCAAGGGTTTTCAAATTAAAATTAAAAGCAATAACTAATGATTTGTTTGTAAAAGGAGTTTTAGGAAAAGTTATTGCACATGTATATGTAATTGAGTTTCAAAAAAGAGAAATGCCACATATACATATATTAATAATATTGGCACCTGAAGATAAACCAAAAACTCCAGAAGACTTTGATCAAATTGTATTAGCAGAGATACCTAATTTTAAAACACAACTAAAATTATATAAAACAGTAACCAAAAATATGATACATGGACCCTGTGGAAAGTTTATTAATTTAGAATCTCCATGTATAATTGATAGAAAATGCAGCAAAAATTATCCTAAAGATTTTATTGCTAATACATCTACAAATAAATCTGAATACTCTATATATAGAAGAAGACAAGATTTTAGAAGGTTTTAAAAAAGTAAAGATTCAATAACAATTAATAATAGATGGATTGTTTCTTATAATCCATATCTCAGTCAAAAATATAACTGCCATATAAATGTAGAGATATGTTCAAGTGTTAAATCAATAATAAATATGTATATAAAGGGCAAGATAGGGTTTTAATTTCATTAAATAATCCAAACAATGAAATTAAAAAATATGTAGATGCAAGATATGTTTCTACTTCTGAAGAAATTTGGAGGTTATTTAATTTTGGTTTACATGAAAGATCTCATAAAGTTGAAAGGCTTCCAGTATATTTGCCTAATCAACAACAAGTTACTTTTCATAAAAGTGAAAATTTATTATCAATTCTTGATAAAGTACAACATACAAAATTAACAAGATATTTTGAACTTTGTACTAATAATTTTGAGAATAAACTTCTTCAAACTTTAAGATATATAGATATTTCTAAACATTATACTTGGAATACAAAAACTAATAATTGAAAAAAGAAAACAAAATGGTGAAAAAGTAATTTCTCAGATGTATTTTGTTAATTCAAGAGATAAAAAGAGATTTTACTTAAGATTATTATTAAATGTAACTTATTGTCCTGAATCATTTGAAAATTTAAAAACAATAGATTATGTAGAATATAATACTTATAAAGATGTAGCATATCAACTTGGTTTGGTGGATAAAGATAATAAATGTATTGATTATCTTGAAGAAGCAATCTTACTTAAAATACCCTACAACTAAGATTATTATTTGCCTCAATATTAGTATATTGTTTACTGTAACAGGTCAAGTTCAGGCTAGTGATGCCACCGAAATTGATTTTCAAAAAAGGCCTATTTCGTTTCTATTAGAGCAAATTAAATTTTTTATAAAAAAGAGCAAATAAAATTTATATATTTATACTCGTTATAATTTCGTCTATTTAAAAAAAGTGTCAAAAAATTTCGTCTTTTAAGTAAAATAGGTCAAAAACAATTTCATCTTCAAATTTTAATTTCGGGTTTTTGAACCTG